CCTTCGGTTTCTTTAAAGAAATTAAGTACTTTAGAGGGTGTTTTGATGGTCTATTCTAGGCTGAGGAGGAAATATTTTCAACTATCAGCCCTGCTGAAATATTCATTAGCAGCATTTCACAGTGTTGGGCTTTGGAAACTATTTGGTATATATGGAAATTTCCTTACAACGTACTGAGAAAAGGACATAAGTGACAAACCCGTCAATTGAAGTCTGACGTCTGTTTTCCATATAATTTGCGATATAAAATTAAGTAACGCAAGAAAATTTACCTCCAGCAAGCTTTGCTCAAGTCAAATGCCATGCACCACTTCCTGGATTTGTGTAGACAGATCTTCATTTGTCTGAACAGGTACGCTTTTTACTTTCAGCGGCGTTGAGAGTAAACCTGGCCTCGACAACGCTGCACTCGAGTGATTTCCATGCAGATGGCTCCTTTTCGACGTCACATGTTGGGTGCCTCTGGCGCTTTTGTCAAGCACTCACAAGCTGTCTTTGACACGTTTTTCACCTGGGAAGCCAACCCTGTGTGTCTAAATAAATTAATTTAACTATATCTTCAGAAAATTGAACGACTGCAGAGATGAGACCGAGCACAATGTATAGTTTGTTAAAATTCATAAATAAACAGACCAAGCGAATGTTTTTACCTCAAAAATTATTCCTTTTTCGTCTATTTTTTTGAAGGCAGAGCACGATGCTTTCAAGAAACAAATATAGTGACTACCTGCGTCGACTATATTTGTCTCGTTCTTTAACATTATAAATGCGTGATCATAAATATATTTTGTCGTTCTTATTGTACGACTAATACTTAGCCACGATCACATTATACTGTCATAAATAATTGGCCTCTCAACGCACGTACGTTTTAGAGACCTCTATCCATACTCAACGTGCGTCAGTGCTAACGCTGATTCCTTTCCTCGCGCGTGTCCCGGTACACCGACGGCGCGAATAGTCATGACCTGTTATAAAATAAAGTGCAGAAGTTGGGCACATAATGATGGCATGAAGTTAGGTACTAAAAATAACTATCAGACGACACTTCACAAGGCAAGGCAAAGACATTCGGCAGACATTCGGCAACGAGATGGCTGCGACGTGAAATTTGCAATGACGCACGCACTAGCAACACCTTTAGTCAGCCAGAGATGTAGAGCCGCCGTGGCGTCGAATAAAAAGAAACAAAAATACAGGTCGCCATGGCGTCGGTGAAGCGTGTTCGTTTCGAATCCCTGCTTCCCGGGTTCGATTCCCACCCAGACCCGAAATATACCAAATTTAATTTTTAAAGCCATTAATTTACTTTGTTTACAGGAACCTCCCTGCGAAATTGGACGCCAATGCGAGCATTTTTTACGTGTTTTCACTCTTTGCGCCATTCATGGTACCATCACTCGGTCACGCCGCCGACGACGTTGGATTTTCGCGTAATGGGCAATATACTGCTTTCGCATTAAACTCGCGGTAAAACGCGACGAAAAAAACGGATACAACGCCTTCGCCAAAGCGCGGAGGGGAGAGAAAAGCGACGATTCGAAGCCACCTTATGGCGGCCACGTCATGTGATTCCAAGATGGCAGCGCCTTTGCGATGGATGGTGAAAAGACCTATAGAATGAACAGGTTAAGATAAAAAAGAGAGAAAAATAACTCGCAGGAGTATGACTAGGAATGTTGAATGACGGACTCAGCGTCAATATCAGCAACTACGTAGTTGGAAGTCTTATAGTTTGAAGGGTATATTTCCAATGTACAATGACGAGCTAAAACTAACTTTGTCATCCGGCTTTCAAGGCTATTGCGTCAATAATCATCGATATGTGGCCATTCCACACTTTTTTTTGTTCAAAGCGCTTACAGAGATAGAAGAAATGGACACACGAAAGCACACTTCATTCCGACTGGCCGAGTTACCTTGGTCTCCTTGTCGCCTGTGTAGTGCCGTAGAAGGTTAGTCACATATTACATGTACACATATATCCTGGCAGGCAGATTTGCTTGAGATATTTAAAACGCGTATATTTTGATATACAAAGTAAGAAATAAACCGTGAATACCAATTGTAAATCTTGTCATCCCAGTACAGCCTTCACACAATCACCGCAATGGCGTGTCGAGGCACCGATTTTGTAATGGCACAAAGTGGTTTGATTTGTTTAGCCATTTTTATTCGGTTGGTGTTTGTGCGTACTCTTTTTTAGTATAAAAACCAAATCGAAGCACCTTCTCCGTCACGCCGCGTAGCAGCTTCCCGGCGACAGCCTTGGTCGCTTCGTCCTGCAAGAGAGAAGAAAAAAATATTTGTGACACGTTTCGCAGGGCCAAAGTTAACACGCAACTGCGTGATCGTCCCACTTAAACGACGTAACAAGCTTTGGAACATAAACTGAAATCCCAGTTGAAGTGCTATTTTCAAAAGGGCGATGTTATTCCATTTACAAGCGAGAGCTGAAGTTGTTATAAAACTCAAAAAATAGGATTTACCCGGAGCTGGTCGTGGAATTTGCGATATACGAAATAAATGATCGCCATTGCTCTAAAAAAAAAATTAGGAATCAGTATAGTGGGATATGCTAACAGTGATAAAATGTGGAAGCGAAAAAGATACATCAGCAACCTTCAGTAAGATTACGACCGATCCTATCCTTCATGTTTCTGAAACGTCAAATCACTTACCCGAAACAAGAAATTGATGCAGCATTTGTTGCGAGAAAATACTGCTTTTTTACGTTTGGTGTACTCTGTGTATTTTATGGCTGCCAATTTTAAAGTAAGCGAATTCAGAAGATTAGTCATCTCGTTCTAATTCGACTTCGAGACCATGCACTAGCGCGGTAACATTAGGTTAGCGTCTTTAAATGGAGTGCGGCGAAAGCTTCGCTTGCGTGTCAGTAACACAGCGCCGGTCGTAACTCGACGATAGGGCGGCAACTACGTGCTGCATCAACATGCTACAAGAGTTAAAATCTCATACTTTGGTACATTCTGAAATGAATTACAGCAAACGCCCCACAGAGCATCCGTACCAATCCAGAACCTAAAGTGGACCCCCAGTACAGCTTTTATATTACAAATATCTGGCACCAATACTATCTTCGACCAACACTATCACCCCTGTTTATTAAGCTAAACGGGGTGTTTTTGCTCGTTGCTGTTTATATTTTTTTCTTACAGATGTGTTTTCTTTTTTTATCCAGGAAAGCGACATTAATGCGGTCTCTGTGTGTTAGTTATATGCTGTCAGGGGGGATAACATAGGAGGCTATTCGGGCACAACAAGTCGTATAACTGACCAAAACTTGTTTAACTTTTTTACTATGAAAATAAACATTATGGTTCCAATTAGAAACTTGCTGAGCGCTATCACGAACCACTGAATCACTAAATGTTGGAAATATTTGGCGCACCTGTGAAGCACCGTAGCAGGCTAACACTACCACTCGTGCAAAAGAAGCAAAGCCGGCGCTGCAATAACCCGGACAATGAGAGACAAAAACACCTACCGTGCGCGTATTTGCGCCTCCAGCCTTGCGCTTGTTTTCACGAGTGGTACTTCCAGCGCAAAAACCTCGCGTTCCACGCGCCCCAAATATATCTAATATTACCTATTTAGCGGTTTTTAGATGACACACAGCAAGTTTCTGATTGGAACCATGTGTTTTTTTTTTCTTTTGATATTTAAAACTTAATCGACAAATTTTAGTTAAATATTCGACTTATCGTGACAATTAGGCCTCTATGTTATGTACCCCTGGCGGTATAACTCACCTGTACATACCGCATTAGTTTACATTTCACATTTTTTTTTTTTAAAGAAAAGACTGTAGAGCCTAGAAAAAAACACATTGTTGCCCTGCTTTTAAGCTTTGGCACTCTCACCCGACTCGCGTTCATTACATAAACAGTCCCTGATCAACGTCGCATGTAGGCCAAGAATTCTTGTCGTTTTTGGAATATATATGTTGCCTTGCTTTTTGAGGGACCAAAAAACCCTAGGGCAGGAGTTGCAACCTTTTAGCAAATACGCCTTTGACTGAATAAAGTCAAGTAGCTCATGGCACCCCAAATAAAACGGGCAATTGAATAAATATTATTTTAGATAGTAAACACGAATCCGAAGCATATCTTTGCCTATAAAAAGCACTCGAATTCAGCTCACTCAAAGAATAATCGGTTTCCTTACAAAAAAAAAAAACATATTTTTTTTAATCAACAAGAAGAGGGAACCGAGCAATGTGCTCATTTCGTTCAAAGTGCTTTTCGACAATCTACAAACTCTGACGCCAATATTGATTGGTATGTTTTTATACAGGGTATTTTTTTGTTTTTCTATCAAATACAGATTCTTTTTTAAGCCGTGAAAGGTACACAAATGCGGTCCCTGCAAGTGGATTATACAACCAGGCGGACAATTGTTTACAACAAAGAATGTAACTAAAAGACAACTAATAACGTGAATTTATTAATTAATTTTAATTATATGTTTTGAGGCACTTGTTTATGTCAAAGAAATGGAGGCAATCAACGTGAAAGGCCAGCCCAGTTAACAAAAAAAAAAGAAAGGACCGCATCTCCACGTGGTGAATGATGTTGCTTGGGGTGAAGCTCTGGTGGTGCTGATGGTACTGATTTTATTGTTCATAGGTAGTGATGATGGTGCTGATTTTTTTTTATTGCTCATAGGTAGTGCTGAGTTCCGGCTTGCGTTTGGACATTATTATTACTGCTTTATGGTCGGTGAAATGCAAAGCCAGTGGTTCTTCTAGCGGATCAGCTTGGATCTTCTAGAAGCCGTGGGAACGCATCTCCACCGCTTAAGTCAACGGTCCATGTCAGAAAGAGAATGTGTGGTATGGAACGTGGTTATATACGCAGTTGAGTATTTGACCGCAGCGCCCTCTCCTGTATAGACGTTGAGCGGCTACATGCAACGTTTCATCCATGACAGAAACCCCAGCTCTTGAGTTACTACCACGTCTCAGAGTTACTCGTCCCGCAGTCGTGGCCGAGTAGTTAAGGCGATGGACTTGAAATCCATAGGGGTCTCCCCGGACAGGTTCGAATCCTGCGACTGCGCAAACATTTTTTCTTTTTATGTGAGCACGGACGCCGGACAGACGGACGGACGGACGAACGGACAAGGCTAGACCCTAAGGAGCTTCGCCGCTAAAAATATTCTTGATGGAGCACGCAGCTCGAGTTATTCATTGCCAAAAGTTGTTGTGGAAATCTGTCCATACCGAAGCCAAACGCGCGATGCCCGCCGGAGCGAACACTCTATAAACGCCGGAGAGTCGCGTGTTAATGACGAAAATTGTGCCACGTCGCATCGGGGCTGATTGCAGTCGGTGTTCCGTGGCTGGCCAACACCACCTAAATAAGCAGAAGGCCTCCGCACCGTCATTACAGTCAGATCGATCAATGCCTGAGATTGGGCACGAGTGCGGCGTCAGTGTTCGGCCGGGGTCTCGTGTTCAATCAGCGCGTCGATGGTCGGACTCGGGCCCAATAGCCGAGTTACCACGATCCGACTGTGATGACGTTTCATGAAAGAAGATGAGGCGATGCGGAGGCTTTGATCATTCTAGGTTGTGTAACAAAACTAACTGTTCTGCAGGCTTCCGTGCAACTGTGCGCTCCATTTCACCGTAAGTGCAAACAAAGGCGGCCTTATGAGAGCGAGCCGATGCTTTAAGCAAACCGAGCAAACCTAATGCACGCATGCTCGTGAATTGAAAGCGTCATTCAAAGCAACACGTCCGCGTTTGTGGTGTCAACTCGCTTGAATTTATAGGAAACTTAACAAACCCTTCGGCGACGGAACAGATGCTTTAGTAAAGAGATGCTTAAAACACTCTCCACATGGTTGAGCGTATAACTGTCTCTCCTTCGCCACAAAAAAAGAAAAAAATAATAATAACGACGAGACGACAGCACCAGCACGCCGCGTTCGCCCCCCGCCAACTTACGTTCGAAGCTACTAATAATTTTATAAAGTTGTAAAATTAAAGTAGAACTATTCTTTATGGTACAAATATGACGAATATATAAATAATTCGGCACTACTGCGCCTGCTAGTGTGTGTTGTGAATTCCAACAGCTGGCCCGCGATAGGGCTTTAGTGGCTACTCGTAGTCGGAACAGTGCTTTCCTTTCACGCTAAAACTGCAGCCATGGGTGAAACGTGGATGTATAAAATACGAGTGACCACTTAGTTCTGAGTTCAAAACAGTGCGTTATTCCTTTACCAAGTGCTGCCTTTTGCCTCTTAATTATCTCTTTCCTTTTATTTTTGACTTGTTTTTGTTTTAGTCACAAGGATTTCCTGGATTCTAATCGCGGAAAAGCATATACGATAAATACGGCGCTGTATGTCTTTTCATTCAAAAGGAATGCAAGCAAAGACCAGGGAAAATATACGTTAATAAAACCATGGGCTAAACGAGGACTGCAAATATTATTTAAGGGGGCAAGTACGAAATCAGATAGCGGAACTTAAAAGAGATAGCCGCCAACAAAGAGTTCCTCTTCGGTCTGCATGCTGCTTGCGTGCCGGGACAGTGGTCTTTGCAGGCAACTGTCAATGATCACAGTACATACATCTGCAGATACATTGCGACCCTGCACAAATAGGATTGCGCGCATGCATGAGATCGGCATGACAATTTCGAAGGTCAGCTCTGTTCGTCCCGTCCTCTAGACAACCTTGACTCACCGGAGCCACAGAAGTTTTGCGCACTGAGGAGTGTCAAGCTTGCGGTGCTTTCATGAGGGAAGGATGGTTCGGGAAGGTGCACCGGAACACGACCTCGGTCGAAGGCATGAGGTCAGCAAAGTTTGTCGCATGGCGAACTCTGTGACAACTCGTGGAAATAGAGCGTGCTAGTGAAGTTACGGTTTTAGAAGAGAATCTGGAGAAACATTTCGTCCGGTCCACGTCCTGTTTTGCTATTCTCCTCTAGCACTGTGAGAATCATCGCTATCCCTTGCGCTGCTCTGAAAGGACTGGTGTTTGAGTCACTTCGATGAACAACCTGGTTCTACTTAACGGATGAACGTTGAAACCCCCTTTGACGCAAAAGCGAACAGCTTTTTTCTCTCTATTTCCATTTCGAAGAACACTCCTTTTGAAGAAAGACGGGGAATAGATATACGTGGCTGTGAGGTGCAAGGAAAATGTTGCCATGAAATAACGACGACTCCAGTGAGATACTAAGAACTTGAGAAGTTTAGACACATATATGTTTTTATTTAGAGCGCAGCTCTAAGGCGCCCGTTTCCGGTTTGAGCGGCGTCACCGTGGCCATCGGCGTAACCGCACATTGCATTATGGGACGCTTCCCATAAAAACGTCACTCGTGACGTCACCGCGCGTTGCATTTTGGGTAAATGTCCCCGCTAAATTTATCGGAAAGATTTCCCGCTAGATTTATCGAAAAATCCTCCCCGTTAAATTTACCGGAAAAAAATTCCCCGATAAATTTAGTGGAAAAAATAGCGAGTTTTAGTAGACCGTGTTTCCCGCTCCGCTCAGCCCCTCCGCTACCCGGAACTCTACAGCCAAGGCCATCGGCGCGCAGGCGCAGTAGCGGTTTCTTCGAAGCGGAGGGCTAGCGGAGCGGGAAACACGGTCTACTAAAACTCCCTAATGCTCCGCTAAATTTTGCGGAAAAAAATTACTGCTAAAATTAGCGGGAAAATTTTGCCATTAAATTTAGAGAAAAAAATGCCCTGCTTAATTTAGCGGGAAAATTTGCCCCGTTAAATTTAGCGAAAACGGTTTCCCGCTAAATTTAGCGAAAAACATTTCCAGTTAAATTTTGCGGAAAACTTTCCCCGCTATATTTAGCGGGAATGTTTTCCGTTAAATTTAACGGGAAATTTAGCGAACATTTCCCACTAAATTGGAGGGAAGCAGAAGAGGAGGAGGGGAGGATACGGATGAGGAGGAGGGGCGTACCCTCCTTTCCGTAACCTCCCCTCCTCCTCTTCAAGAGCTGCGCTCTAATTCGGCGTTACAGGGAATTGTAAACGTCTTTAATTTTTTTATTTGTTTAACTATACAAACACATTCCAATTAGATAGGCCAGGCTCTTGGTGAAACGGCGGCTGCAGCTTTGAGGCTTATCGGAAGCTTTATGTTATTCCTACCAGCTTCGCTCCTGTTCATGTTAAATCGTACGGGGGTTGTTAGCCAGAAGCTCTTTCTAGCCATGGAGTTTTAAGGCAAAACCAAAATGGGGAATAGAAAAATTTTCATCATTATAATGAATTTTTTAATAATATTTAAGGGGTTAAATTTATTTGAGTACTGGGCTATCGTATCCATAATGTACACTAGGCTGTATATGCAAGCTTAATTAATCGCACTGTGCTCTGGGGATTTATCCGGTACGAACACTCGACTGCCAGAGCTTGAAACATCATTGTCTGGCTCGCCTTTCTCCCAGACTACAGGTGTCATTACTGTTAAAATTAATTGTTTATTTTAGCCCTCCGTAACGTCCCTCGGATATTCCAGAAGGTGCAATGAGCTTATATAACAGCAAATGAATCATGATAAAATAGCTTCCAAAAACATCTGGCATCATTGAGGCCGGCAGTAGCATTGCAGTGAAGTCAGCAGAGTTGAACCAATGATTGAGTGGCAGGCTTCAAATTAGCTTATTCAACTGGTTGTCCCCAAAATACAACAAACTATTACATCCAAGACTTATGACTAGAATTTCTAAACTGTATATGGACTTTCATGTAAATAAGTTAGAAGAAAAGACAATATGGTTTTTGTTCTTAGCAAATTTAATTCAAGTTGCTTTAACTTTTAGAATTGCTACAAGTTTCGAGCTATATATATATTTGGTAAACTATACCAATACAAAAATTACACAACAAATTAGGTTATAATATGTGGCTATACACTGATACTTGTTTTATGTCATTACAATTAACAGTGCACTTACTGGAGCAATCCGACTCGGAGACAAACTTGCTCCAGGTAACAAGTTCGCTATTTTATACGAAAATAACTGTAAAATTAAAAAAAAAATACTGTTTTATTCATAAAAGTGGTCCATAACATTTCCTGCAGCATAAAAATATATTGGCCCCTTGAGTAAAGCCAACTGTCTTACTCTTAAAACACCGTCCGAAATTGAGAAAAAATCATATTGAGTTTATGACAAATTTCATCTCCCGGCACGTCGGATTTGTTGGCCGGGAAACTTTTTGGTCTAATTTTTAACAGGCGGTTTTGTTTATTGGAGGGTATAGGTAACACATACATTGTTTCTTTTAAATCTAGAGCCCCCCACCGCCACCTCCTTCCTACCCGGAGACGTTTGGAGGAATTCAAATGAAAGCTTGGGGGCCGGCGATTACTGAAAAGCACAAGGAAGATCCACGGACTGAACAAAAACAAGGAAAAGGTTTATTCGATGTTTTGAGAGGACTCTTATTCAGAATGACGATTCGTTGTTTGGGAAAGAGGACTCGGCGCGATTTTGATATATACCGTAAACAAAGAGAACAGATAGCGTACCGAGGAAAATAAGACCAGCTGCGCGGATAAGCGGGAATACAGCGGCCGTCTGCCAATAAGAACGCCGGAAGCACGGCAAGAAACGAAAGAGGACGTGTCGGTCAGGGGCTGATGGAGAAAAAAAGGAAGCAAGATGGCCACTGAGCCCGTGGCAGAAGCATTTCAAAAGCGCCCGAGGAAGCAATTCAAGATCGTTATCCCAGGCGCCACCCCAGCCACTACACAGGGGCTTGCACCCTCTTCGTCCGTGACGCCTCTTCCCTTCCTCCCTACGCGCCCCAGCCATCCGCGATTGCTAACGAAAAGCGGGGAAGGGCAGAAATCATACCACGCGGGACGAACCGTTGGGTCGCTGCATATACGCAAAAATAATATCCGTCTCTTCTCGTCTAGATAACACCCTGCCCGCTCTGTCCTCCACCTCCTCCACTTTCACTTCGTCGCGCGGCATCTTTCTGCTCTTCCGCCTTTTTTTTTTTTTTCCCCCTTCGTCCCTCCCTCCATTTTCTTCCCCTTCACCTAACGTGTCTCCATGGCG